GTGTCGGCTACAGCTGTTGGCTCCACGTTCTTCTTGTTCAAGGCGCTAAGTGGTACCACCACATCTGTGTTTGACATCCAGGGCGACGGGCTAACGACGATTCGCCAAGGTGGTCTAGCCATCACCCTTGGTGGTGCCACCGTGTCAGCCGGAGGATTGGTCGTGTCTACTGTGGGAGCTACAGTCACGGCTGGTGGGTTAACCGTAACCGATGGCGGCGAAACGATTCGAACTACGTCCACGTCGGCTTCGGTGTCAACTCTTACTGCTTCTAGTGCAAGCTACACTGGATCCGTCTTGACAGCCATTTCTGCGACCACAGCTGCTTCGACTTTCTACTTGTTCAGTGCACTCTCTGGGACTTCCACTGCCATCTTCGACATCCGAGGCGATGGGTTGACCACTATCCACCAAGGCGGTCTAGCCATCGCCCTTGGCGGTGCCACCGTCACCGCGGGTGGGCTAACCGTGACTGACGGCGGTGCTGCCATCACAACCACCTCAACCACCCTTTCCGCCTCCACGTTGACTGCCTCCAGCACGAGCTACACTGGCACCGTGCTGAAAGCTGTGTCGGCTACAGCTGTTGGCTCCACGTTCTTCTTGTTCAAGGCGCTAAGTGGTACCACCACATCTGTGTTTGACATCCAGGGCGACGGGCTAACGACGATTCGCCAAGGTGGTCTAGCCATCACCCTTGGTGGTGCCACCGTGTCAGCCGGAGGATTGGTCGTGTCTACTGTGGGAGCTACAGTCACGGCTGGTGGGTTAACCGTAACCGATGGCGGCGAAACGATTCGAACTACGTCCACGTCGGCTTCGGTGTCAACTCTTACTGCTTCTAGTGCAAGCTACACTGGATCCGTCTTGACAGCCATTTCTGCGACCACAGCTGCTTCGACTTTCTACTTGTTCAGTGCACTCTCTGGGACTTCCACTGCCATCTTCGACATCCGAGGCGATGGGTTGACCACTATCCACCAAGGCGGTCTAGCCATCGCCCTTGGCGGTGCCACCGTCACCGCGGGTGGGCTAACCGTGACTGACGGCGGTGCTGTCGTCACAACCACCTCTACCACCCTGTCCGCCTCTACGTTGACTGCGTCCAGCACGAGCTACACTGGCACCGTGCTGAAAGCTGTGTCGGCTACAGCTGTTGGCTCCACGTTCTTCTTGTTCAAGGCGCTGAGTGGCACCTCCACGTCTGTGTTTGATATCCAGGGCGACGGGCTAACGACGATTCGCCAAGGGGGGTTGTCGATTGTAACTGGTGGAGCTACCATCGCTGCTGGAGGGCTAGTCGTGTCCACTATTGGTGCTACCGTAACTGCCGGGGGGCTGACCGTCACGGCGGGGGGAGCTACTGTTACAGCTGGGGGACTTGTGATCACTGACGGGGGCGGTAGTGTGACTCAAAGTGCAGCAGCTGGTCCTGGCCTGTCTGTGACTGCGTCAAGCTCAGCTCTGACGGGCACAGTGCTGAAAGCCACCACCGCTACTGCAGTAGGGACCGGCTTCTATTTATTTCAGGCCATGGTGTCGTCTACCACGTCTGTGTTTGACATCCGCGGAGACGGACTTACGACGCTGTCCCAAGGGAGCTTGGTTCTCACGACGGGAGGACTGTCGCTCACAGCGGGTGGCATCACGGCAGCCGGCTCGATAGTGTTTTCTAGTACGACGGCGGCTACGACTGCAACCACCGGCGCGTTGCAAGTCGCGGGGGGTATTGGAGTCGGTGGGGACATTTACTGCGCTGCCACCGCCCATGTGCAAACGTTGGATCAGTACTCGGACGTCCGGTTAAAGCAAGCCATTCGTGACATTGGAGTGACCCGCGCCGAGTTTGATGCGTTGCGGCCGGTAAGAATCGGTGGAGCCGAGCGTTTTGCTCAAGTGTCTTTGTATACGTATAGGTCGAGTATGAATGGAAACGACGCAGCAAAGAACTGGGCGTCCAAGCGGGATTCGTCGCCCAGGAAGTGCAGCGAGTGTGGCCGCATCTCGTTCATGCAGACGGAGACGGCACGTTGTCGCTGAATTACAACGGTATCACTCCGTACGTGGTCGCGCGCGTCCAAGCCCTGGAACGAGAACTCGATGACGTGAACGCGGAGAAAGATAGTCTCCTTCATGACGTGGAGCTGCTTAAGTCTGAGGCAGAGTTAGCGAAGGCAGAGATGGAACGGGTGAAGCTCGAGGTGGCCAACATGCAAGCCAGAATGGAACGATGGGAAACGAAATTGGAAGTCCACGAGGGCAACAGTTAGGTAGGTAGGTGTAACGTTAGGAATTTATGCTTTATATGTATGCAAACTTCATCGATTGTATTTCAACCTAATCAAAGGTCACCATGCACTATATAATGCATGCATGCTTCAAGCGAATGCAAGCATGGACTCAATGGTTCATGCGAACGGTGCGGTCGCCGACACGGTGTTTATCTTGATCATGAGGTCGCGGGCACACATCACATGAAATCTGGTAAAGAGATTGCGATGCACTGCTCAAGCACACATCTCGGATGACAGGCAAATCGCACGACCGACGGCTGCCATGGTAGGTATAGGTAACAAAGGCAGCTTCATGACCAGCCTCCAGAACCTCCTTAGCATGTCTCTTCAGACCACAACTATCGCCATGGCCATAGCGTTTGATGGCTCTGCAAGCTGTTGCCGTCGGCCATCGTCGTGGTAGGATCGTCAAGGTGTAGTCCACGTGTCCTGAATCGCCACAAGGGTAAGGTTGTAATAAAATTCATATTTGGTAAAACCAAAATAAAAGTGAGAAATTATTATTCTCGACATGAACCATTGTTACAAACTTCAAGCTCCAGGCGTATATTATTTTGATTGTTCGAAAAATGGACGGCCATGGTAAAACAGCGAGGGTGTTTATTTCACTTTTGCATTGACGCCCCTCACCACAAACTACACAACATGAGTGACATCCTGACGCAACCCGCCGTGATCCTTGCAGGAGTGGCCGTAGCTGCCGGTGTCGGCGCGTACTTTGCCATGGCACCAGGCAGCAGCAGTGCGTCCAAGAAGGAAGACGCCAAGGTCGTGAAGAAGAAGGCCCCGGAGCTCCCCAAGAAGCTCAAGAAGAAGAAGGAAAAGGAGGAAGCCGCCGCCATCAACCCCAAGCCTGTGTCGCCCGTCGTGGTCGCACAAGAAGCGACGTCCACAAACAGTGAACCGTTGGACTTGAACGAATTCGTCGGTGATTTCCCAGACACCGACGACGAGGACGCCGCGCGCGCCGAAGCGAACCGGAAGCGCAATGCCAAGAAGAAGGCCTCAAAGAAGAAGAAGTCGGCGTCCAACTTGTTGGAGGACAGCGAAGAGGACAAAAAGGCGTCCAAGGGCAAAAAGTCTGTTGCGACCACCGACCTGTCGTCCAAGTTGGACGGCAGCAGCAGCAGCACGAAGAAGGACAAGAAGAAGGCGGCCGCAAATGCCGCGGCCGTTGCGGCCAACATCGCCGCCGGCCATGAAGCCGCTCCGTCCGTGGTGGACACCTCGGCCCACGACGATGGCTGGGAGACTGTCCAGTACAAGAAGCGCGGCTCCAAGGCCAACGTGACGTCGACCTAAATGCGTTCGGATGTTGTTTCGATGTATCCAGGATGAGGATGGCTAGGTCACCTGTAAGATGTAGAACTCTGGCATGGCACCATCAACCCAAGCGGTACAGCGACCATCGAGATAACAAGGGCGGTAATTTAGATGATAGTAGACACACACAAAATATCGTCTGCTTCGATTTATGTTTATGTTTTTCCAAATGGTGCCATGTCGGTTATAAGAAATAGACTCTGGAGAACTTTGCCATGTTAGGGCTTACATCCTTACAACTTGGAGCGCGGCGCCTTGGCAGCCTCGATGACCACCGGTAGCTTCATCGCCAGCCCCATGTTGCCCTTCACCTTGAGTTTTCCCTTCATGAATGCCTGCACACAGTCAGCGCATATCACTTACAAGATATAAACTCTGGTGAAAACCAAAGAAACGTACTTGTTGGGCGTTCAACTTGCCGTCGGCGATTGCCATAAAGTCGTCGTCGGACGCCGTGATCGTCAAGTTCGCTGGCTTCGTCGCGGCTTCAATCGAGCCAGCGCCATTCTTGAGGTCCACGTACCACGCTCCTCCTAGGATCATCATGCCATGGATTCACTCAACCGTCCATTCGCATCAAGGGGGTTGAAGTACCTGGTGTGATCACGAATTGGATCGTGCCTTTCACCTTGGACACCAATTCCGGGCCCTTGGCCGTGATGGCTTCGCCAATGGCCGCGAAAATAGCCGCCGATCGCAGCGTGGGCTTGGCAGCTGATGGAGGAGTCGCAGGGGCAGCCGCAGGAGTCGACGGTGCCGACGCGATCTCTTTCTTGTATGCGGCAATCACCGCGGTCAATTTCGACGCGAGTCCCATGTTACCCTTGATCTTGATCTTGCCCTGCATGAACGCTGTTTGCGGGTTCAGTTTCTCGGCAATAAGCAGCAAAAAGTTGGGTTCGGAGATCGTGATCGTGACATCGGCCTTGTCGTCGGCAGACGCCTTGGATACGCCGGACGGACTCGCCTTGACCTGGATCAGCCATTGTCCCGCGCCTGTGACGTCGAACTTGATGGTCCCCTTGACCTGACTCACCAGCGCTGCTCCTGCTTCACGCACAGCCACGTCCATCGTCACAAACACTTCCGCAGCTGAGCTCATCGTCGCTTGGAAATGCAAAAGATCACCGACATGGCTGTAGTGTCACTATTAAGTTGCAAGTTATGGGCACTATTTCAATTGACTTGGCAAGGTTTTTTTACAAAAACAACAACACTTTCTGTCTATTTAATGACTTGGTGTCCTTAAACGTCGTGTCACTAAATTGGCGAACCACTGGCAGCCATGGCACCCCTTCCCCCTCCTGTCGTGTCAACACATGCGCATGTCATTCCCAAATCTTTGCCGCGGAGACGAGCTCATGGTCGTCGCGGTCGGTCTGCCTGGACGCGCCTTGCCGCAGCGATGCGGGAAGGGGCCAAGGGCGGAGTTGGGTATATCGAAGAACGCTTTTTGTGTGGAGTTCTAGCCATCCTCCTTGGCATGGACCATGTAAGCTGTCGACATCTTTAACTGTAGCGTGTTGCATAGCCAAAGTACAGTAGAATGCGCTGTGGGGAAGCAACACAGGAGCGACATCGAAGAGCGAAGACTCAATAGTCAGTCGTTCACAATGGCATGCAGCATGAGACTACAACCTTCGATTGTACGAGAAGACTTCTTGAAGTAGGTCGAGGAATGGCACTTAAGTCGACGATGGCAGCACCAGGTGATGTCGCGTCGGTAGATGTATCCGAGCCTCGATGGCCATGCGATACATGCGTTCCAGGTTGATCGTGTATGCATGGGTTTGAAACAGCGGAAGCGGCGCGGCGTCCGTCGTTGCAGCAGACGGCCCAAACATGTCCAACGTGTCTACCATTCGTTGCAGGATCTGCGGCGATGTAGCCAATCTCACTACGCACACGTCATGCATCGTGTCACGACATAACGTGTACCATGATGTCGAGTTCTCTTTGTTGGTCTCAACCTTCCTACCTGCCACGTCTTCGAATTCCTTGCACGAATACACGATGAGCCAAGTCAAGTGGGCGTTCGCAAGCAGCGACACTCCGACCCGACTACGAACATCGCCGCGTTGGGCCAACATGTGCCAACATCTAGAGCGCACCTGGCAAACGAACCCCCTGCCAGCGTCAGCACGGGCAGCGACCCCGCCAGCGCGTCTGTTGCCGTCGAGTGAGCGCCATACTACGTCCGGATCAGGATGAGCCAAACATGACATGGGAAGATTGTTGCTCGAACCACAAATGTATCGAGGAACAAGTCGGCGTGGCGCTGTCGGGTCAAATGCTCGGCCTTCGACACGCTACACACCATCTCAGGCGCACAGTTTGAAAGATTGTCAATGGCAAGTGAAACCGTCGTCTTGTTCGACAGAACAAAAACGTAGCTGTCCTCAGAATGAATGCGTAACGTTATACCGAGGAAGGAATCGAAGGCGCGCGGCGGCGACGCCATGCTGGGCCGCTTCTCGGACGAGGTTGGCCACGATGAGGTCGTGGGTGTTGCTCGACGTCGGGTGCAGCAGCCACAGCTCGCTGTGCGGAACCTATATTTGCATCTCATGAGTATTCATTTTGAGAGACGATGACGTGGCAGATTGATTCGTAGCGTCGAGCACATATATCGTCCTATCTACATACACGGCGCAAGATGGCCATCCACACATTAAACACCCGCGGTTCCACTTTGTCGAGCTTGTTGAAGTTTGCAAACACAAATGACGTCGACGACGTCACGGCTGTGGCATGACGCTCTTGGACGGAAAACTGGTAGTACGACGCATAGTAGTTGACCTGATATGACTGCGGGAGCATCATCAAGTGCTCGGTGTACTGGTCTATCGAGTCAAACGCCATTTACATTCAATGCAGTATACTCATTATGATGACGGCATCAACACCACAACTCCTACCTGCATGTTCTGCTGGCGTGACATGTCTATCCGACACCATATAGTCGACATACGCAGCCCCCAACGTGCCTGGGTACACCAAGAAGTTGACGATTATGGCGGCGGGCTGTTTGGCTACAATGGCATGCCGCTGCCCTACCAGTCGTCTGTTCATGACCCTCCAATTCACAAGTGTGATGGTCGAGATATGTCACCTAATGTATGCCCTTGAGCATCGACAAGGATGTCGACACGAGCGGCTTCGATGGCGGCGGCCGCCTCGTTCGTCCCCAGCAGCACCACGTCCATGAAATGCTCCGATAGCGTCGGAATCGACTTGCGGTACGCACTGCCATCGTCTACTATATGCTAATCATCCTAGCAGTGTCGACTCTGTGTATACATACACCTTACCTTTGCCATAGCTCCACGTCGAGATTTCAAACGACAAAGTGTCGTGATGGACAAACAGTCCTTCCATGAGGTGGGCCGTCGGGTGGTTGTTGAAGTCATGCGACAAGTACCCCACGTGCACACGGCGATTGTTCTTGTTCAGGTCGACGGATTGCGGGGGTCGGATCGGAGTAGTGGCGCCAGCGTACGCTTCGGCAATGCGACGGCGAAGATGTGGAGGTATGTCCACCATGAGGCTCGAAAACGGAACCAACGAACTGGCGGCATCCCTGGTGCACAGACAACTTGCTGGATTGGCAACACGTTTGAACCATGGGGAAGTGGCAGGACACTGCTACTTCTTGCCTGTTCAACTGCCTCGTAATCGTAGCGTCGAGATATGCATCCCACGTTTCTTCGTACTCCACCCATGACACGATGGCTCGCCGTGTCCGCGTCTTGTGCTCGAACAGGTCGAGCGCTTCACGATCGCTGTGGTCCATCCATTCCAGCAACGTTTGCGCCGTTTCAAATTGCACCAGGGCTTCCATGGCCTGCCACGTGGTGTCATATATGGCCATGGACATCATTCCGATGTGAACACCAACCACGACGATATTGTAGTTCACGTACATGGCCGTTTGTTTCCAGCGCCACGCCGTAGTTGATGGCGATCTGCAGCGACAAGTGCGGAGTTAGCGGGGTGCACCTTCGAGCGCGCTACGACACACAATCAAGACTGTGTTGTCGAAATGCCAATGTGCCCACATCAAAATTTCGAAGTGCTGTTGATATGCTGCCGTAGCGTAAGTGCAATGTGGCGATATTAAGCCAAGCCTATTGATCAACATGATAGTAAAGGAAAGTGTTGAGTTGACAAAGGCAACCTCGGGAAAGTTTGGGTCCAAAGCCAGGGCTCGGTTGTACTCGGCGTTGGCGCGCGTGACCTGAGGGAGTCAATAAAACACTCTATGGCGCGTATTATGTGTAGCAAACTGTACCAGTCCCTCGTCTTGAAGGGATACTGCAAAGTCGAAGTGAAAATGCGGGTCGTTGTCGTGCAAGGGCTGAGCTAGGTCGAAGAACATGATGGCGGTGACCTCGTCACCCATGGCATGATGGGCCAGGGCTATCATATGTGCCATGCCCTGCGCTTTCGTTGGGTTGGTTGCGACACTGGCTTTAAAATGGTCGATGGCACGTGCATACTGTCCTGCTTTGAAGTTGAGGAAGGCTAAGTTGCCGTGCACGGCGTCGTTGGTCGGGTCCAGGGTGAGGACAGTGTTGTAGTACTTCGTTGCGATATCAACGTTGCCCTACGTTATGCATGATGTAAGCGTTGCGTAGTCTTCAAGGAAGTCACACCTCGAGATGGTTCATTGCTCCCAGCGCAACGTGGACGTCTACGTCGTCCGGGGCCACCATGCTCAAGCGAAGTAGTAGTTGTTCGGCCCTGGCGGTATCTCCAGCCTGCATGATCTCAATGGCGTCTTGGAAACGTCCTAAGACATTGTTGTCTGCATTCGACAAGCTTAGGCTGCATGCTATTGCTGCCACCACTACCCCCGCAGCCCATCGCATTATTGATCACTCGGCGTTCGGCTGGAAAAGATCGCAACAACAAAACGTCATCCAGCTTTTCATTGGCTAAAGTAAATCTCGAAGTATGATTGGTTAAAATTCGATTCGAACGAAGTGGAGCACACACATTCGTAACGTTTAGCAGGACATCCAAGATGCGTCGCGGGATGAATCCGAAGGCGACAATCCTTCACATGGCTCGCTGTATTTCAATGCTTTGATTTGCGTCGTTTATGCAACTACTGCTTTCAATTCACAATCTGCCGAATTCTGACGGGATACAATTGACCAACAGGTGTTTGTCACTTCGAGGGAATGTGTGTGCCGAGGTATTATTTTGTTTGGCAATTACATCCAATCACAAATCATCCTAAAAATAATTTCAGCCAATGGGGGCGATTTCTGCCCTGCCCCTGAAACCACAGTTCAAAATGTCCTGGTTTGGCAAGCCGACTTCCAAGCCGGCCCCAGCGGCGAACACGAGCGCCGTGTCCGAGCTGCAGCGCTTGTACGTCGTCAGGTCAACGGAGATGAATATGCGGATGTAATGCATGTGTCTGTAGGAGAGGACGACAGATCTCGAGCTTGGTGCGTGCAGGCGGGCAAGCCATCAATCACCAGCAGTCGATCTTCGACGTTGTCGTACGCCTTGTGGACTCCCGCACCCTCACCTTGCGAATGTACGACGGCGCCGACGGCATCATGCGCATGGACCCTTCCAGAATCGCATCTCATGTGTGTTTAATGTGTGTAGAACGTTGCCGGACGAGTTTCCCATGCAGGCACCCATCATCCAAGTGAGTTCGATGTCCCCCCATCATGCCGTGCCGTGCCGTTCCTTAGCGGAATGATTTGGTAGACGACGTCGCGGGTGCAGCATAGCTGGTTGGACTCTCAATGTCGAGTCACCGGGCACATGGACTTGTCGACTTGGAGTGCACATGCCGACATCGGTCGCATCGGTACGCCTGTCCCTTGCATCAACGTCACATCACTAAATTCTCTGTAGTGACTGACATTGTGACGGAGTTTCAACGCAGTCCACCTGTGGTGATTGGCCGCGGCGGCATGAGTAGTCCATCGATGCCGCCTCCGCCCATTACAACGAGTGCGTCGGCCACCCCCATGTACCCTGGTCCAACGTCTGCATCGCCGTTGACCCCATCATACCTCCAGTCATTCCCCCCACATGCCACGTCGCACCAACACTCACAACAGCCGCCCGTTCCTTCGCTGTACCCTCCGTATCCGTCGGCATCGACCGCTTCGCCGTCCACGTACGGGTACCCTGCGCCGTACGCTAGTTCGTCCGCCGGAGCCAGTTATGGCCAAGGCAGCCATCAGCAGCAACCACCCAAGCCTCAGCGCGATGTGGTGCGGCAGACTCAATCTCCTGCCATTCCAACCGTGTTTCCTGAGCTGGAATCGTTGTCGTACGTCGTCCATGCTTGACGTTTTTGGGTGGTTTTGCACCAAATTTGGAGCTTTTTTAAAGTATTTTTGACGTTTTCGGTGGGTTGTTTGGTAGCGTCAACCAGTTGGAAAAGCTCGTGACCGATCGAGCGACGTTGAAAGCGTACATCAAGAGCATGGATAACGTGGTCAACTTCATGAAGCTGTACGACGACCTGGTCAAGGGCAACCGAGATATGGCAGGCACGTACTGACCTTGACGCACATACTAGTATGATGCGCCTTGGCTGATAATGCATGTAGAATCTAACTTGGGGTACGAGGCGCAGCTCGCGCCGCTCCAATCGGATGTGCAATCGTTGAAACAACAACTGCATCAAGCGCAAGAGTCGCTGCATGCCAAGCAAACCCAGCAGCGTCAAGCGTTGGTGGTATGTTCTGCCATATACCTTGTGTTCGTGGAAGTTCAGGCGGCGCTTTGTGTGAACATAGCATTTTCAAGCGGAGCCCTTGGTGGCGCGAGTCGCGCAAGCCGCCGACGAAGCGGACGAAGCGTCCGAGGAAATCGCAGCGCGGTTCACGAATGGTGAAATCGATGTGAGTCAGTTCGTGACCGAGTTCTTACCCACGCGCAAGTTGTATCATTTGCGGACGACCAAGGTGGACCGCTTTACCAAACCGTAGTTGAGCAATGCAATAAGAATACAATCCATTATGCTTCTCGAAACTTCCACTCCTCGCGACACAGGGGACACTTGTGCTGTGCATCTTTGAGTGACTCGAGCCATTTTACCAAGCAATGCATGTGCAATGCATGTTCACATCGTCCAAAGACTAATCCACAAGTTCATTCGTGTTGGATAGGGCGGGGAAGTCTACCTGGTGGACACCCATCTCCCGGCACGGTGCATTCCGGGCAGCATGCCTCGAATGGGTTCTGGCAGATGATACAGCATCCTTCGTTCTTGACACCCCATGACCACGTCGCAACGCCGTGGATGCGCTTCACTCGGATCTTCATCTGTATTTGTCCGCGCAAATGCAAAATTGGTCGAGGTGTCCTCTGAAATCACATACCCACTCGCGAATTGATTTATCCGGATATATAAAACCCTTCTAATTGCATCTTCTGTTCAGGTTTCAATTTCAGCCACGAGTGAGAGAACAGAACATGCATGATCTCGAGGGCGACGAGAGTGTTGGCGAAACCAAAGCAAGTTTCGGACGTATGTCTTGGGACACCAGCAGCTGCAGTATGCGCCAGGTTCACTTTCCTAGGCGGTATAAAGACTGGCTGGACATTTCCATTAACGTTAGCACGACAAGATCAAACGAATGACATGGCGCTGTTTTTGCGGCTCTTACTGTATCGGTTTTACTCCCCCATGACTACATACAGTATACTAGTATAGCATATATAGATTCAAGTTAAACGAGTTTTATGGCGTGTCAAAGAAATTAGTGTGCGGGCAAGTCGTTTTAGCGTAGGTCGAGCACGTATTAATTAATACATGTAACGTTACTAGTATACTCCGGAGTAATATCAAAACCACTAACTATTACTACGTAGTAATAGTATGATAAACTAATTACTAGTACTACTATATACTAGTATATACTACAATATACTACTACTACTACTATATACTGTACTACCATATACTGCTGCTACTATAATACTAGTAGTAGGAAGTACTACTGTAACTGTAGTATATTATCACCGTTACTCCGACGAAACTTGATCTTTGTATGCCTAGTTTTGTCCAATGAAAATTCATTCATTGAGGATTGACCAGTAAAACAGTACAATTTCTTGTATTTCTACCAATCCGAATTGATAGGGTTAGGGAGTTGACATTCTGGAAATGAAGTTGTGCGAAAACAATTCGGTTAACCAATACTTTATCCGGATCTTCTGCCACAAATGCCAAATATGACACTAATTTCTTCAATGACTTACCCGCACATTAATTTCTTCGACACCCCATAAATCTCGTTTACAGGTTATAAATGCTGGGGGTAAAACCGATAAGAGCCGTTTTTGCAAATCAACGCTAACGTTATCGTGCGTCCCTCTGTCTGTATGTGTAGGCAGCTTGCATTGCATTAGACGCCATCGCCTCAAAAGGCATGTACCTGCATAACGCCAAGCATGTCATGTTCATCGAAAACGCCATAAATACAATACAAGCGCACAACAAACGTATGACACTGGAAGAACTCGACCACGAAAATGCAACAGCATTGGCACTCGGCTAGTATGCCAACAATCAATAGTACTAATAACGTTCCTGACGAGTGGATCCATGTTGATGCCACCACCACTCTTTACTATACACTACTGTACACTACTATTAATACTAGTGTGGACTATTAATACTAGTTAGTTTACACATACTTAGCCTTGGGGTTGTTGGTCGTGGCTTTTGGAGAAAAAGAAATCCATGGGCCCTGTCTTGGTTTTCTTTTGCTGTTTCGTTGGCCGCGCTTTGTTGTCGTCGTCGTTCCATTTTGAACTTAGCGCGAGGGCGACGTGGTGGTCTGCGTGTTCTGCCGCGGTCGTGGCAATGTACATGTGGCACTTGTGGCAATAATGCATCTCCTCCGAAGCATCCTTGTCATTGGAATATCCACGGACATCATCGCCCTGTCTATCCACCCCCGCGGCTGTGGGCCCTTTTACAAAGAAGTGCGCGATCGTCGACGGAGCGGCGGCGGCCTTGGGACGCGGAGGTTTCCATGCCGCCGACAACGATGGCTTGGTGGGCATCGATCTGTCGATTCTTCCATCGGTGGTGGTCGTCACTCCATCATCTTGTGGAGCCATACTATTATTCTCGTCAATTGATGGCTGTTTAACGGTGCTTTCTTTGAAAAAGTGGGTGATTTTGACCGACATGTGCAATGTCGACACAAACTCTTTCGCTGACAACACCATGTGGGAACACGGCAAGACGGCGGCGGAGATGTCGTGGATCTGACCGATCGCGGCGGCATAAAACACACTGGCGTCGACAGTGTTGGGCACTGCAAAGTGCCGTACCAGCTTTTTCTGGCCAGAGTCGTAGCGTTCGCAGGTCAACGTGAACTGCGTCGGGAGGCGGTGGTTCTCGTCGCGCTCTTCTTCAAACCGCCACGCCATCTCGTCGCACAAGATGCGCAACCAGTACTGAAACAGGCTCTCGGTAGTCACAAGCCCCCCCTTGTTTGGGTCAAAGCTCTTGACCGAATTCAATTGCGCCAGCAGCACCTTCTTGACGTTCACCGGGTCCTGCCCGTCCTCGCCCATACACAGCGTGTAAATGTACCGACCAGTGTCGTCGCCGAAATGCTTTTGCAGCCCCTGTAGACCCAACTCGTCCACGATCGCTCCCGCCGTCACGCGAGCCGGTGGACCTGTCTCGGCGTTGGTGGCGCCTTGCTGTGGCGTTGCTTTGCCTTCTTCCTATGTTGAACGATGCTTAGAATCGTCATATGGAAACACAAGACAATGTACGGTGTGGTGCTGGGAACTAGCTAGACCGACGAGGCGGACGCCGAGTTTGCCGCCCAATCCTCGAATCTTATCCACGGGGAAGGATTGCATGAAGCGTTGGACAGAGCGTGGTGGAACCATCTAAGTTACCAGACATATTTATATATATATATATATATATATACAACGAGTTGAGATAAGTGTCTAGTTCGATCATGTAGCATGGATACACGAACCGTTTGGCCGTCGGGTTTGTGCAGTGGCGCTGCCTACAATAGTGCGAGTTGATGTGTTAAAAAATTCCATATCGTGAACGAGAAAGAGCAACTACGGTTATGTAAAAATTCCATATCGTGAAGAAGAAAGAGCAACTACGGTTATGTAAAAATTCCATATCGTGAACGAGAAAGAGAAACTACGGTTATGTCAAAATTCCATATCGTGAACGAGAAAGAGCAACTACGGTTACTGTATGTCAAAATTCCATATCGTGAACGAGAAAGAGCAACTACAGTTATGTCATCATGGATATGTCAACAACGGAAATGTTCACCATGGACATATCAACAACGGAGACATATATAGACCAACCAGTTTGGACAACAATTTGTTGGTGGCGATGCCCACGGACGTGGTAAAGTTCAACGTGCGTCGGATATCGTCTCGAATTTCTTGAGCAATTTCTGCTCCAATACACAGCAACTTCTCCTGGTAGGTTGTGGGAAAGGCCCCCGGCGCGTCCGCCATGCCAAACACGTGGGTGGCCCCGTAGCCCAAGCCGTCTGAAACGTTCTAATTTTGTATATCCATATCGGAATGGACATGTATTTAGCGGTGTCGTACCGATTTGAATCGTTCTTGACATTGCTGGGATACGTCCATGTACACTTCGTCGATGCTGGCCTTTTCGTAAATGGGGGCATGACGAGCAACAATCTCAAACACTTGGCGACTGGCGATGCGGTACCGCCTCAGAATGGCCTTCTGTTTGGATCGATTGGGCGCCACGTCTGAGCCGTCTCCAAGGGTTTCGACATGTGGCTGCAGAGGCAGCATGAGTACACGAGGAGAAGATGAAGATGCATGGTGGTAGTACCAAGTGGATAGAAGGACACTTCTTGCGCGCATCGCCGATGTTTTCGCCTGTTCAAATATGCAACCGTCAACACAACGAATCAAATGCGACGACAACGTACTGCGCACGACGCCAAACGGACGCGCGGCGTAGTTGACGGCGAGTAAGCTGCCCCATTGCTGTACAGCCAGTGGTTCCGAGTGTGGGATACCAAGTCGCTCGTGCTCCACTTGGGCGTAGAAGCAATCCAAATCTAAATGCAGAATCACGCGGGTCGATTCGTCGTTCGCCGCCGCAATCTCTCCATCTTGCATGTCAGTTTGCTTAACTGTAAACGTCACGTCCGGATAATTGTCAATATCAAATAGTGTTAGCATCGGTCTCACTCTATTCAAACCATTGTAATTACTGTTTGTCACACCATTGGAGGGAATAGATTGAGTACACTGTCGGCGCCAAATTTAACGTTAGGTTGGCAACACATCGCCCCGCAGTACACAAGCATTGCGATGGCCATATGACCATATAAACACATCATTTCCACGCCTTCGATCATTAGGTAAAGAATATCTCGATATCATTGCACGCAAAATTTGTAGCTTATCGACGCCGCCGACGGACGGGGTGAAGAAAGATCTCGATTTGTCGAAAGGGCACCATCGGATGATTCGTCAAAAAAATAATATTGTTTAGTATCTTTCATTAAGTAAACAGAATAAAGAATAAAACTTCTTATAAAAATTATACCGGTAACCATTTTGTATCGATTCATGCTGCCATACTGCTCGAGCGATGCCAGCTACACATGGATGTGCCTCCGTGGCGTGGTGTTGGGTACCCTGTCGCTCGGTACGGTAGTCTTCTGCTTATACGCCATATACATCATGCTTCCTGCGTGCATCCATGTATCCCAACACCGTCCCAGCATGGCACTGGTCGTCTTGGCCGCGCTCGAAATGACGTGCGTCTTGCTTCGGTGTGTATGGGTCGACGAACCCAAACTCATGATAGCCGCCAAGTACTGCCGAGGAATTCAAGTGTCCATCTCGTGCTGGCTGTATGGCCTCATGGCGTGCGACATCACTGGCAAAAGGTCGCTAATGTATGGCCTGTTGATGCCGCTGCTCGTGGCCGTAGCGGTTCTCATGACTGCCGACGTTCTGATCATGCTGAATGACCCGTACGTCGATTGTCATCACGCGTCCTGGCTTGTCATGTCCTTGGCCTCGTCCACGTTGGCAGGTGCGACCAACGACTGCATAATGCCACCAACCCTCATGAACATGTAGTGAGTTTTGCAGCAGCGGGTGGGGTCGTGTTGAAGGAAATCAAGCTCGCGTCTGCGATGCAGGTCTTGTCCACTGCAATCTCAGTTTATTGCAATATTCAGGACAATCACTGACGAGATCTTGTAGAGGCATTTGCATCAAACACTAATCTCGCACCACAAGGAACTGGACCATACGTATCATCAATTGTGGTGGCTCGTTGTGGTACATTCTATGTAACCTATCCTCACTAGTTGGACAAATGATTTGTTTCTGTAGATCAACATGATTAGTTCCGTGCTCCAGCTCTCGTACGATCTGTACATTACCTACGTCGTTGGTACGAACTATACGTACACTAGTGCAACTTGAACCACCAAATATCATATTTGAAGTTGCACCATTGAACCACTTGACTTTTAGGTGACGAACCGTGTGCAAAAATCTTTTACGACGACGACGATGGAGCGATTGAGCAAATCGTTCGGCTCGGACTGGCCTTGGCTACGTTTGTCTACCCGGAATGGGTCACCGTCTATGTGTTCTTCTGGAGCTCTCGACACAACTACGCCACGCACCACATGGACGTTCCAGACATCGAGTCCACCACCGATGACGAAGAAGGTAGTCGCAGAGGACTGCTTGTGAACGACGACAGTCCCAGCGATGCCATGTACCACCACATCCTTGACTTCGACGCTTTATCATCGCACAGGCAGGACCAGTTACCCCTAAGGCACGGCAAATAATATAGCAAATTATGAATAACTTTTGAAGGTTTGAAACAGTACAGTACATTTGCTGTTAATCCAGTGTTCCACGCACACTGGCCTTGACGATACTTACAGTATGAATGATAACTGCTACTTCGAAGTAATACATATTATTACTTCAAATCCTTTACTAACGTTACCGAAAGCAGTGCTCTGGTAAATATCACAAACTCGGGGGTTGGTGGCGCTTGCTAATATTCCAAATTACAGGGGTAGCTAGCTAGCTACCTTCCATTCGGTAGCCTGATGGAGGTTTGCACATTCAGCACCACGTTGGCCGCGCAAACGAACGTTGTGAGCACGGTAAATGCGATCCCACCGGCGCCACAGCCAGCCTGGACGAATTGCTTGAGGACACATACGTGTTCCTTCTGTGCAGGCAGAAGCACCAGGAGCAGAAGCGACGCCATTGGGATGCCACCAAGCACGAGGATCGATTCTGGAGAGTGTTGGTCGTTCGGAAACGCAGTGGCGACCGCAGCTCGGATGGCGATGTGAAACGGATGGCTCAGGGTGGCCGACGCGGCCAGCATGGCCACAGTGAGACCTTCCGTGCCTCTGCCTGCCATTTCGACGGCGACGAACCCACGAAGAAGGGGCGGCACCCCGTGGGCTAACCCACTGCACACGACCATGATTCCATCAAAGTCAGTGGAACGCAGGACATAATTCCACACAGAAAACAGCTCTGGAACAGTGGTGACGACGACGAGCCAGCCCGTAGCCAGGGCTAGCGTCCATCTCCACGACTTCTGGCGAGCAGCAAAGCCCACGCCAAAGACCATCAGTGCTTGACAGAGGTGGTAGCCGGTGGCTACACCGTAGGAAGTCGAAGATGTTGTGTCGATGGTGGCTACCTGGGGGGTCTCCACGAGTGGCCAACAGAGAGAGTGACAGAACCAAAACGCAGTCACTTGCCACGTAAGCGGCAAGTGAAACAAGCTTTGGCGGGCGAGATGCCAGAACGGCAAGCTCAACCTGTTGGGTTGTTCAAACGGTTGGTCACGCATTCGCAGCCCTGCTACGATAGCCAACACACACACCACCGCCACAATGACGTAGCCGGTTTGGACAGTGCGGCCGTCCCACGGCTGTAGCTGCGACTTCGGCGTGATGGACGGAGGCGACGACGACGACACCCATCCAAAAGCTTGGACAGACACGGCAGTGAGCATGTATCGTGCGGCGAACGCTGAGGATTGGAGGCGGCCTCGTTCGACGAACGATTCGCGTTGAGCCAATTGTACTACCCATGCTTCAATCGCTGTCGTTACAGTGGTCATGCCCGCGGTAGCCACCAAAGCTGCGACGCCGACGATCCCGGACAAGGTGGAGTTGTTTGGTTGATTGGTGCTGATTGTGTCGTCAAGGGCTAGTACGACGACGGAGGCTGTACCACAAAGCAACCATCCCAGCACGAGAAAGGGGCGGCGACGGCGGTGACAGGCGTCGCTGAGACCACCCACGAGAAGGCTGCACGTCCACGACAAGATGGAAAGCAGTGGGGCCAACGCTGGAGCTCTGTGATGCACAAACAGATCCAACGCTCCGATCGCAAATCCACTCAAGGCATATTGCACCAGCAGACCGGTGGTTTCCCACGTCATAAACGCCATCGACCCACGATCGTGTTCCATGATCGTGGACCGATCAGGGTCTTCCAGCGACCGACACGTGGCGAAAAAGTTGGCGTGCAGAGTGTCCAGAACGTTGGAGTAGTCCGCCCCTTCGGACTGACACGACAGCGACGGCACTGCCAAGATGCGCAGGCCACCGGAGGTGGTCTTGGGAACTTCATATTCGTCAATGGACATGGTAGTATAACGAGGAATGAGTCAATGACTGTACTATGACGCTGAAATCCATATACGAATGGTTTGAGTAGCCGATGACACGTCGAGGCGACACATTGAAGTACACTGTGCACATGGCTGCATCTCCTGAGTCAATGAAAATATCGCTATTAGACTACAAAGGAGATGTATAGAGGCACGCTTGAATTTCTCCATCACAAAGCCGAGACTGTTCACCTCGAAACTATCCAATCGTCTGTCTATTTTCGTTTTTGGTCGTTGTAGTCAGAACACCCGGTGCTGTTAGAGAACATCCCGACTACCATGTCAGTCAAGTAGCAGCATCTGCTAGCTTTGTTGGAGGATTTTGTGCCTTTTAGAGGCTTTTCCTCAGGTCGAGAAGACAGCGCAGACATTTCGTCACCAATGTCGTGGCCAATCATAGTCTAGTTTGATAGCACTCCACTTCCTGTTCTCCGTTCTGCTGCTCACTGGTCTGCCCCGTCCTCTCCACTGTTGTCATAAAACGTTAGACGGAGTGCAATGTCAACTGCAATCTCGTGTGTATTACAATCTACTCACAGTCAATACAGACTGTATCGTACATCCATGACGAATCTAAGCCTTGTTGTGTTGCATTCAATGTGATCAACGTCTACTATCTTCGCCTGCCATGCTGAGGCATTCATACACTATGTGGACATTGAGGTCACATCGATGCATGCATAGCACTTCGACCATGAGGTCCCACACCAACGACACATTCCAGTCGTTGACCGTCATGGCGTGGGTGTCCAGCACCACCGTTGCATTCATGTCTTGACGTTGCATACATAGTTGTTCGGCCACGTACAGAACGGTGACCGGCCGAAGGTGCCACGCGATGGCATCTCGAGCCACTTGTCGAGCCACATATTGCATCCGACACCATCGAACGTGCTGGTCTTTGCCCCCACCATTGTCAGCATTGTTAGCATGGTTCTGTTCACTGGGGGAGTTGATGGTCGTGGTGCTGCTGATGTTGAGCTTGTGCTGGTGGTGGTTGGCTTGTACTTTAGCTCGCAGCGCCATCATAACTGGAGCATACTTCGAGTGTTCATGACTGGCACTGACTTCTAAGATACGCAATTGACTACTCGTTTGAACTACGGCGTCGATACGAAGAATCGCGTTGTCCAAGCATGGAAAGCGACCTAAGTGAAGGGCGTGGAGCCGTGGGTGGTTGACCGCCGCCTTCACCAGATCCACTACGCCGTTCAAAGTGCATTGGTTACCTCCCTAATAAGTACCACCTCAACAACGAGGTCAACAAAGGAATTGGCTCGTACAACTCACCACATCCAGACTTTGAAGGGTTAAGCACCGGTGAAAGAGCACTTGGAACACAGATAAGACGTGATCGGTCATGTGGTTTCGAGCAAGATTCAAACGTTCAAACGAGCAGCCCCATGCAATTCCAGCGACGAGAGCAGCGACGTCCACGTCTTGGAGGCCGCAGTTGGCCAGTGTCAAAGCAGTTAGCCGGACGGTTCCCTAGAAAGCGCCAAGGTCGTTAGATAAACCATACTTCAATACAAGTACCAACCTGCACAAATGTGTGGTAAATATGGGCATTCAGTCGTCTTGGCCACGTAGGACAAGTTGCAGTGGAGTTGATGATGTGCAGCTCCCGTAGGGGCCACTCCGTCGAGTTGTCGCGAATGGCCATGAGAAGGGCAAATAAACCATCCCCGCCAACGTTATTGTCCACAAGGGTGATGCTAAAGAGCGACATCGACACGGACAAGCTAGGGGCGAAGAGCCGAAGCCCCGCCAGCGTGAGGGTGTTGTTTCGAAGAACGAGGTGCGTGGTTGCGTGCGATCGACGTAGGGCGTGGCCCAGGCTGACACAGTCCACTTCCGTCAGCTGCACATGCTCCAGTCGAGTGATTTCGGCCTTTCGCTCAGATTGGGCCATCGCTCGAACCACCTCTTCTGCGACTGTCGCCCGCATTCAGTAAATCTATTAACAAGATGTAGGATCATGACGCACCTTGATGAGCCACTTGACGGGTGTTCCGGCGGGCGCAGTGTTCGATGAACACGACTCGCTCTGGCTGTTCGATTCCGTAGGCCTTGGAGTTGGCCACATCAATCGACGTAACTACTGTGCATTTTTTCATCGCACTAGCCAAGTGAGCGACTCCTGCGTCTGTGATGGCATTCCCGAGGAGGTTGATGCGCCATTTCCGCGTCGGTGTCGGAGTAAACTTGAGCTGCTGAAGGGCCGATGCCAACATCGCTGCGCCGTCGTCGTCAATTCGGTTGCGAGACAGACTACTCACTCGATTATACATTGTTAGTCAGGATATGGATACGTACTCGAGCATATCTAGAACGGTGTTGCGGCCCCGTTGAATAAACATTGCCCAATCGGCAATACCATCCGAGCCAAGGTTGCATTGCCGAAGCGAGAGGCGGCGAAGTCTTGCGTTGGCATGGAGCGACAAGGACAGGCACTTCGAACCGTGGGAACCGATTGAGTTTCCGCTCAAGTCACACGACGTGAGACTAGACTTATGCTCGAGCATATCTGCGACTACCACTGCCATCTTTGGCCCACATCCTATCCACCAGCACAAGTCCATGGTCAGGTTGAAATGATGAGCATGTTAATGTCGGTACCAAGGTGGCTCAGTGTGAGGGCAGTAATGTTTGCATTCATTCGCACAGCTCGAATCGCGGCGTCAAGGAGTTCGTCAGACATGGGGACGCCATGGATTTTCAAGTGCAAACGAGATCCATCCACTATGCAATACCTTTGGAGGCGGGGGTCGACTTCGGCGTAAAGCATGGCTACCTTGACTTCCACACCAGTAAGTGAAACCGTCGTGAGCAGTTACTTCAAAACTTGATTTGTTATATTATATTATAATTTCTGCTATAACGACATCAAGTCAGCTTGGCCGAGTGGTTAAGGCGTTAGCCTGCTAAGTTAATGGGGCAACCCGCGTGAGTTCGAATCTCACAGCTGACGATCGTTTTTCTCCCCTTAATGTTGTTTTGCTCGATAAATTTGGTTCGATATGAAATGTGATGAACTCAATGCCATTTCGATTTACTCGATGGTATGGCTCTCCTTCAACCCCGGTTGATAAAGCCTCATCATAGCTAGCTTTCTTTGCCTGCATAAGCTCCCGTAATAACATGAAAACTTGAACTCCTGTGAGTTCAAGTTTTCATGTGTATTACAGTCAATGCCATTTACCTAAGATACTCGACTTGAACTGTGAGTTTCCACGCATTGCAGTCGTAACGTTATGAAGAACAAAAGTTTGACGGTTGGTTTTACTAGTATGGGGTTGCAAGGAATATAGTTGTACCCTGCTGGAGGACCTGGTGAAATCATGACACTCCATACCGGTAGGTCTGGTACAAGTATGATTGTTGTACGTTTGGTACAAGTACAGTACTAGAAGCTTAAAGTTAGTATTCAAAGCTCCAAAAGCAGCTAGTACGCGGCCGAGGCCATTAAGTGCCCGCTGAGTGATCTTAACTTTACAGCGTAATATCAATATCAATATTAAAGTTAATATTCAAAATCTATGGACGAAAAAGGATCGTCAGCTGTGAGATTCGAACTCACGCGGGTTGCCCCATTAACTTAGCAGGCTAACGCCTTAACCACTCGGCCAAGCTGACTTGATACTTTGAGTCAAAATATAATGTACTAATCGTTACACTTGGAAATTTATGTGAATCTGACATTGCCCAGCGTAAAAACCCAGTAGATTGCCCGATATCAGAGAATGGCCCGGAACACTTTTCATGATGAAACTTATTTAATTACATACAAACTCTAGTGAATATGCTTCATATTGGTGATAGAATTTCGAGGCCCACAGTTTCGATGTACCGCATTTGTGTATTCACTGTCAAGGTTAAAATAAATTTAGAGTCATCTACTGATCTTCTCAAAATTCACAATTTTGACTTTGACCAGCAATAACTTGGTGAAGCATACATTGAATCCTTCAAAGTTTGCTTGTATGATGTAGTGCGTTCAATCCTCTATAACAACATAGTTGAAAGTTCATCCAAATCGTATTGTTTCTAGAGAAAACGTAAAAAACCTAAGGGGTCGATTTTTGGGCCATCTACTGGTTTTTTACGTTATACTTATCGTGGTTTGATTTCTTTGTCAGGCCTTCATATGCGTGAAATGGTAACTTTATCGCTTCAAGTTTTGTGATGGTCACCATCGAACGTTTCGGTAGCCTAACGTTATCTATTCTTCGATTTTACGTGTCATTGGCAGGTAGATTTATTGCGAGGGAAGTGGTCGTTTGGGTGCGGCAATGCCATTGCCGCCCTCGATAGGCGACGAAGATGCAATCATCAAACACATCTTTCACGTGTACGCAGACGTTCCAACCCATCGGTTGTCCAACTCCAACTTTCGACGGCTCACACTGGATGCACCGAACCTGCTCACGCCGTGGTTTGGTATGGTGGACGTCGACTTGGCGTACGCCCAAGGTATCACATCCTCGCTCACAGCTCAATCTTCATGCTCATGTATAGCTCGAGGCCATTCGTGCCGCCGCCTCGATGTGACCCAGTTTGTCGAAGCGCTTGTACTTCTCGCGTGGCGCAAATACCCCGAGGAAGCACAGCAGGATGCGTTTCTTCGTCTTCTCAACGAAAGCATTTATCTTTTGCCGGTGGCTTCAAAACTTGCACACGCACGAGCTGCAGAATTTGCCACCGCCCGACTCGGGCGGTCTGCAAATCAAGTCGATGCATTCGATTCGTTACTGCCACTGACGTCGTCTTCACCTTGTTTCGCATGGAAACAACAACATGATGTCGACATCCTCGGCGATTTCCTAGCTGGCGACTATGGCGCCGTGGATAACACGGATGATTCGGACCCCGAAGTTGCGCCTCTGGAGTCGCTCATGACGTGGCACGCTGACGGAGATGCTGCATTGACACTGGATGACGCTACGTCGTCACAACCTGTTGGACATACCAGAGTCGCCGCCGCCGCGTACTTGCTGGGTACCATGCGCGCGATCATCAAGTCCAACCAACGAGCCAAACGACGTCGTGTACGACCACGATCTTATTGACGCTGTCGTGATGACTTGTGACCGTATATTTCTTCCATTAGGCTTTTCAAATCTGGCACGATCGAAATGACTGTATATCCTGTCGAATTGCATGGCTCGCAATGATTCTAAAAGGTCGCTGCCATCGCAAAGTGCACTTGGCGTGGACTCTGTGGCAGCGCAATTACAAACACTCTAAAGTGACCCAACAACAGCGGTTGCAGTCACTCGAGTGGACACGAGCTCGACAAACACAACTCCTACAAGCGATTATGACCCAGTGGTATCAGACCGTCGCCGCCACCGCAGTAGTTCGTGCTCAATTCCGACGTATGTGGAAACAACTGACGTTCCGACGTCTTCGATCGAGGTGGCTGCGGTGGCGGTTGTGCACTGTGCACCGACGAACTTGTGTGTTGAGCGTGCGTCGTATGCAGAGAATGCGGTGAGGAGTTAGTTAGTTAGACTGTTGTGAATTGCCTTTGACTGAATGACTTGTGTAGGGGCAAGAAACAACTGCAGCTGGTGTGGTCGGTGTGGCAGCGACACTGTGCAAAGTTGAACGCGCTGAGCTTCGTAATGTGGAAGACGTGGCAACGCACAAGTCGCTCAATTTGCATGGCGCTCTTGACCGAGGCAGCCTCCAAGACGGCCAAACGCGCGAGCGCGCACAACTTGATTCGCATGGTTGCCACGTGGAAGCTAATGAGTGCTTGGATGACGTGGACGCACCAGATTTCAGTGCAAACTCACTTGGTGGCTTGGAATCGTCGCGGTAACCAACGGATGATTCACAACATCCTGAGAATGTGGCAGGAATGGATGGTCCAATGGAAGCTTCAGAAACGATCGACACGTCGACTTGTGCAGATGGTTGGACGACGAGTGCTTTCCAGGACACTTTACACGTTGCGCAAGGCATCTTGGTCTCGTAAAGTGCACCTTGGCCAGTCAATATTGATTCACGAGAGGACGATGGCGATGGCGTCGTTTCTACGGACGACCTTGCGGCACCTTCGACGACAGCGCCTCGGTCGGGCTTATACAAACTGGACTCTTCATACACTTCAACATCGATTTCAAACACGTCGGGTAATGTGCATACATTGTACTTTCCCCAGCTTCTCCAACATGACGTTATCAACATGTCGACATGTTTTGCAAGTAGCGTCTTGAGAATGCTCTCTCCAAGGTCTTCCTACTGGTCGGCCACGGTGCCCTTCAGTACAGGGCACTGCAAACTCGGTTTCACCAATGGCGTACGCTCTCCACTGTGTTACGCGATACGTCAGCGCACAATGCACAACGTCACAACGACGATGTCTCACATCGACACGCTCTCGGCTTGCAGTTGTTGGGTCACACAAGTCGACGCCACCACCACAGTCGCGTGACGAAATTGTTTCGACGGTGGATGCAGTACAGTTGCCACGTGGCAGCATCAGCCGCAGCAATCCAACGAGCGACCCAATTGTGGACGAAAGTTCACGTGCTGCGGCCGGCGTGGCGGCTCTGGCGGGCTACATGCCGTCGGTTTACGTTAATCGCCCGTTGTTTCGAGCACTTTCATCGATATCAACGCCGTCGAACACTCCAGGGGTTGTACACGTGGCACGCACACACACAAGTAGCACATCACGAGGACACGAGGTTGGTACTGCGCAGCCAATTGGTTCGGCATGTCCTTGGTCCAATCGTCAAACGAATGGTTCGGAGACATCAACAGATATCATGGATAAAGTGGTGGGAGCACATATCCCATGCCATCGACGCAGCGACTCGACAAGCGCTGTTTGTACGGTGGTGGCGGCAACACCGTCGTCATCAGCATGCAAAATCTCTTCAAAGCGCTTTGGTCAAGTGGACAATGCACATTGCCGACCGTCGACACCAATGGCGGATGGAAGGTCTGCTAGAAATTTACGCGAGCCAGAAAGTTCGATCGTCGAGGCGGCTCGCGTTTCTGACTTGGACACTGGCCGTGTCCCGTCACCAGGCCAATCGACGGTCACTTTGCCGTTTGAAGCGACTGTGGGTTCGAGAACAGCTCGTTCGACACGGATTTCGTTGGTGGCGCCGTCGACTTGCGTTACAGCGACTCAACATCATGTGTTTCCACCATCACTTGTCTTTTGCCGTCAACAAATGGAGGGGCGTGACGCGTGAAGCAGCGGCTACCGCGTTGAAATCGACGACTCTGGGTCATCTCGTTGAAATAAAGCGCCGATTGTGGATGCGCCAGCGTTGGACGCAGTGGTGCCACGTCACACATGCGTCATGTTTGTGGCAAGTGGGCTGGAGTCGCGAGCATAGTGCGCACTTTTATTGGAATGCCTTGACGGGTCGGTCGCAATGGGAACCCCCGCAACACAGCGCCATCTCTCGTGGGGGAAGCCACGCCGCAGAACAAGGGGCCGCCCTCGTCCACTCGATTTTAACCCATCGCAACCACCAGCAACTTGAGGCAGCAACACGGCGTGCACTCACTCGATGGCGGATGGAAACGCTCCATGAACGACTGCGTCACCAACTTGCACAGCAACTGCACACGCACGTTGCAGCTACGCATGCGCTGATGCAAGCCCAAGTCACGAGTTGCTACGACACGAGCTGGACGTTGCTCCAACATGTCAAGACGATGGCTGCCGTGTTTGGGCAATGGAAGCTCGTGTGGAAGCACACCAAATACCACGCGGATGTGGTCGTACGAACGACACTGCGGATGCAACTCGCCAAGATCTTCAGGCGCTGGAAACAGTTGAGTTTCGATAGCCAAAGGCAACAACAAAAAACTGTCGACAATCAAATCCGAGCGGGAAAATACCTTCTATCAATTATGGCTCGGAAAGCAACCCGTCGTCAACGTCGTGCGTTCCACCTGCTTCAGCGCCAAACCTCACGCATCAAACTTGTCTACACTCTTCTACGTACGAATCTAGCCCGCACGCAGGTAGGTATAGCTAGGTTCCACCATGTCACACATCCATATGGCTACTGAAACATCGATGTATCAGACTCGAAGATGGTGGCATTGCTGGACTTCTCGCGTGACTGTAACCCGCACGATGGCAATGCAATGTCGGCAATGGCAACATCAACGACTTGTTCAAAGTAGCTGGATGACGTGGCGCCACCAAGTGCACTTCCGCCAACGTCACCGCGTGGGATGTACTCGTTTGGAACGAGTGCTCAATCGCCGAGAGCTCCGACAGCACCTGCGCCAGTGGCTCCGTCGAAGCGACCAATGGCGTCAGCTTCACCGTGTACTCCATTGCGGCCGTAAGCGGAATATCCAACGAGCGTGGGGGACGTGGCAACGAGCATCGGGTGCCCACCAAACAAGCCAAGCAAGGTACATCTACATCTCGAATATAGCCCTAGTGGACTGTATTTTAGAAGGCGGAGTTCATTCGTGGGTTCATTAGAAACGTCCTGCAAGCAATGTATACATGGCGAGTACACGTGCTACAGCGCCAACGAGCTCGAACACTATTGCGCACTTGTATCGGGCTATTAAGTCGTCGCCTTGCGGTGGTTGCCTTGGCGCAGTGGAAATGGTGAGGGTTGGCTACGTGCAAATGCCCTTAAAATACATACACATTTAATTGTGGAATAACATTGTAGGCATACTGTCACGTTACAATCCGTGGCACGTGCGGCTGCCACGTCAACTACGAGCCACTTACGGCTTGCTTGGAGATCTTGGAGCGTCGCCATACGCCAGCATAGGCTGCAAGTCCACGTACGAAATCGCATTGTTTTTTCTTCTCGTTTTTATATGAAATCATAGATAAGACCCAATATTGATCGATATTGTCTCATGTTTTCACAGGCGCTACGACGTGTGATACTCCGCCGTCGCTCCCGCAGTCTCCAATTGAGTTATTCGAGATGGAACTTTTACCTAGTGGGATCGCGGCATTGTCAACAAGTGCAAACTGCATTGCGAAAGTACATGTGCGCTTTACAAACGTATCAGGGCAAGGTCCACGCGTTGTCCAGCATGTTGGCTCGCCGTGCAATAGGATCGGCCATTCGTCATTTCCACCAAGTGCTGCAACGCTACGTCGCTCAAGCGTTCCATACGTGGCGACTCCACAACCGTGCATTCTCATTTCAAGCTAAGCTAGATGTAGCACACGAGACGACTCGGCGACAGATCCAAGTAGCTGCCTGTTGGCGCAAATGGAGCAATTTTCGATGGAGGCGAGTTCAAATGACTTGGTTACACTCGCAGCGGCCGCTCCAACGCGCGCTGGTGTCGGCGACGTTTTCCCGATGGTCGAGTCAGGGATTGGCTCGACGAGCCTCGTGGAAGGCCACGGTGTCGACAATGGAAACTTGTCGCTGGCAAAGGAACCTCCGCTCGCTCTGGAACACCTGGCGGGCAACCATCGAAACCACGAAATGCGACCGTATTAGTCTCTGTCGACTGTGCTTCAATGGATGGTCCACGGCTGTCGTCCGCTGCCACGTCATTCAGCTACGTTCAAGAAATGAACGTCAAGCCCAACGACTCGAGCTATTCCAAGCCCACCGTTGTTTGTGTACATGGCAAGCTTGGACGAGCTATCGACGCGTGGCTCGTCAGCGCGGCATCGCCACCCTTTCCCGGCTACAGTGCCACGTGTACTGGCGCAACTGGACGACCTTTGTCGACCAACAGCGTCGATTCCATTTGCTTGGCAACTACAAAGTCGCCAACTACCATCAGTTCAAGCAAAGGTGCCGAAAACTCGCCTCTATCGTCACTACACTTGGCCGTGCCTGGCTACGAAGGCAATTTGACCTTTGGAACCGCCATTCGCACCAAGTACAAATTGATGGCCTAACGGGCGCTCTAGCTTGGCTAGACGACTCGCACGAGCAGCGCCTTCGTGTTTACGCTGTATGGCACAGGTATGTCATTGAATGTTGCGTGATTCGAGCCTTTCTCAGCGAGTTTACATGGCAAAACGGCAGATGGAGGCGTTTCTCGTGTTCTAGTCGAACCAATCGTCTGGCTAGTCTCCGACAGTGTTTATGGTCGTGGAAACACTGGTATCAACGACATCATCGGAGGCGAGTGCAATTGGCAGCCACAGTGCAACGAATTGCACACTCGCATAGGATGACTAGGTGGCGCCAGTGTGCAGTGTTTCGAACATGGCAACAACGTATTGTGCCGCCATGCCAACGTCCAGGGATGCCCATGGCACATTCAAAACCGCTTTGGACGACCACGAAACCACCACTTCTTTCAGCAGCATGGAGAAAAAACCTGTCCAAAGCATCGTTGTTGCTCTTGGTGCGCCGAAAGAGCCACTACATGGGTGCCCTGATCTTGCACTTGACTTTGCTGAAAAGGCGTGCGCACCACCTCACCCAAGCCTTTCACTCGTGGCACGAACGCAGCGTCGGGACCAAGTGGGTGTGGTGCCTCATGCCTGTGCGACTAGCCAGTGCCATGGTGCAGATCAAGTACCACATATTTGTTGCCAAGCGGGAAGTGTGTCAGTTGTACGACCAACTGCAGGAAGTCGAAAGTACTGGTAGTTCGGAAGTCTACCGGTAGTACACTGCAGCGGTAATCAAGTTTTCCTGTGACCAAACTGTGAATGTCGGACCGGCTACCCTAAATAGTACATGCAATCATGATCATGGAAGTGAAGTGTTAGTCATAATGCGAGCCGGGGAGAAACTCGCCAGTGTAACGTTATGCCGCAGCTTGCCTAACGTTATTAGTGAATATGTGCAGCAAGGTTAGGAGTGCCAGAAGGCTGCGGGAAATAACGAACATAGCCTTCCTCGGCGGCATAAGCGAGGATAAACGTACGTCTAGACGAAGTTTAGTTGAGTTTTGGTGCAAGGCGACTTTGTATTCGACTGTTCAAAACGTGTACATATTGAGGACGATGCCAATCCTTCAAAATGGCAATTAAAAGCAGTGCACGTTGCTTTCTTTTTTCATCAGGCTGAACTCAATTCGGAAATACTAACCCATCTTTTGCTCGAAAATAATGTTGTTTTTCCATGCATGGGGCATACAGTATTAGACGTCTGTGCTTATATTTGCAGTTAAATGTACGTGAGGTGTCGTCGATCACGATCTGCGATCTAGGGCTTCTTGGTTGTCGTGACCACCGATGTAGTGGCCTTGGTTGTGGTAGGAGCAGCGGTCGTGGCCTTGGCAGTCGTGGGAGCCGCGGTCGTCGGCTTGACAATGGTAGTGTTGGTCCCGGTGGAGTTCCACACACAGCCCCACGCGCCAGACGGGATCTTTTGGCACACCGAGTTTACAGGGGCGACGCACGTGCTGTTGGCGAACGTCTTCAAGCCCTTGTGGCAGCTGGCCACCGCCTTGTCGCCCTTGACGGGGCACTTGGTGCCGGCAGGCACGAGGCCGCTGCCGCTGCAGATGGGACCCGGAATGGCGTAGGTGGCATCGCCCACCACAGACACGTTGAACCAACGAGCGGTGGTTGTAGGTGTGGCAGGCTTGGCTGTGATAGTGTCACTGGCACTGGTCACTGGCTTGATGGTCTGGGCGGCGACGGCTGCGATCAATGCAGCGAGGAAGATGGTGGTGCGCATGGTAGTAGTAGTAGTAGTCGTACTTGGTGGACAATATCAAAGTGACCAAACCAACCGGTGCATATATGTACTGATCACGAAGCGATCGAATTTTTCAAATTTTCGCGCACGCACGTAGTCGCGACCAGCGATCCTACCACTGCATCGGCCCACTCGACCTACACGTACTATATATACGAAATTCAAAGAAATACAACCATGCGACGCGATCGTTTGAAAATCAGCAATTCCGTGAGGGCAACAGTTCCACTGTTGCTTACACAATCTTTTTACTTAGGGCCCCGTTTGGTAACTTTTCAAAAATAATACTATTAATAGTATTCCATTTTTTGGCAAAATGAGATAAACGAAAAATGCCATTTTCAAAATGGAGGTAAAAGGCCCATTTTGTAATATGACGTTTTGAACCACCTCAAGGAGTAAATCCCACGTCGAATTATTGGATTTAGGTTAACACTCTTCGAGCAAGACATGTTTCTATTTTGATCAGATTTAATATTGAATTCGGCCCCAAAATGGCGTTTTGGGCCTGAATATTGTAATATTTCAGGTTGCCAGATTATTCTTATTACTGTACTACCTCCAGACGGAAATAGAAGTCCCTTTTCATTCTTAGAGGTTTTTTCAGAATTAACCGGAATTAATTATTATATAGAGTCTATTTATATGTATCCGGATACGAGTCACGATTTTATACTGATTATATTATAGACCTGCATTAATTTATATTCTGTACAAAACATAGTTTAAATTGTTGCTGACTATTTTTTCATGCAGGTAGAATGCATGCAAACCACAAACATTCATAGAGTAGAACCGCCTTATCCATTAGGGTATTCATCTTTAAGGTATTATATTCCACAGGGATACGGATCATACAAAGACCTTTACAACAAGCATACTTAGGGCAAAAACAGATAACACCATCAAACAAATCACCAATTTTATTAATTTTCACCAAAAGGGACTTCTATTTCCGTCTGGAGGTAGTATTAAATAGTCAAATGCAGTGGTTACTACTACTACTACTAGTAAGTTGCACAAGGGGTCCGGGTGTTCCGAGGTTACATGGCGAACTACCGTTAGTTACTGGTTTTTTTGAAGGGAGATGATTACGTTAGCAACAGTGGAACTGTTGCTGTCAGTGAATTATACTGGAACTACATATTAATAGTAAGTTGGAAAATGAAAAAAGCGATCGGTTGACAAATTCCAAGTAACGTTAGTACTACAGTACTTCGTACGTATTATAGTACTTCGAAGCATTATTATAATATAATAAAGTATTATTAATACTATCAATACCTAGTATTAATACTGAAATACTAGTACTACACTATACGTTATAACACTGTAGTACCGTTACTATTAATAACGTTAAGGTTATATTGTGGTGCTCATGAGAGTGCTGCACCAAGGAGGAAAACAAGATCTTGAAAACCAAGTCGGTTTTGATCGCAATATTGTGTTTTCTACTCCAAATTTCCATGGGCGGTTCTTAAATTGCCCCAATCCGAATGACCGCGAAATGACCCCAATGACAAAAAGTGGGATTTCTCTCACAAAACAATCGCTACTAATCACCCTATTATGACGCAGTTTCCTGAGCTGAGTCAATGGACGACGATCCAATCTTGCAGCACTAACACCTAGCGCGTAGGCCTCGTATGCGAGTCTCTTCGCATCCCCAACACACATGCACACCTATGTACAGTACACACAAACTTCTCAAGTACATCAACTGGACGCCCGCGCTACCGCAACATGTACACGTCGTCGTACTGCCCAGGCAGTTGTGGAAGACTGACAGTGAGTTGGACGTCCATTTTCTGCCCAAATCCTCGAAATTCTAACCAATGAAATCATCGCGGCTATTTGTTGTCAATTTTCACAATTGCTTACAATTGGCAAGTTTAACCGGAAAGCACAACAACGTAATATCGATGTTCTTGAGCAAAGTAGAGTAACATCAACTTTTCACATGATCGTACGTACTTATATCTTCCATGCGCTTAACTATTCGTCTGTACTACTACTACGTGCAAGGTACATTTTCTTCAAATGTAGAGAGATCCATGACCGATCAGCTGTTTAAGGCTTCTTGGTGGTGACGGCGGCCGTGGTGGTGGGCTTGGCCGTGGTGGTGGTGGCCTTGGTAGTCGTGGGCTTGACGATCGTGCCGGTGGTCGTGGGCTTGACAATGGTAGCGTTGGTCGCGGTGGAGTTCCACACGCAGCCCCACGCGCCCGACGGGATCTTTTGGCATACCGAGTTCACAGGGGCGACGCACGTGCTGTTCGCAAACGTCTTCAAGCCCTTGTGGCAGCTGGCCACCGCCTTGTCGCCCTTGACGGGGCACTTGGTGCCGGCAGGCACGAGGCCGCTGCCGCTGCAGATGGGGCCAGCAATGTTGTACGTGGCGTCGCCCACCACAGACACGTCGAAACGACGAGCGGTGGTGGTGGGCTTAGCGGCGGTGGTGGTCACAGGCTTGACGGTGGTCGTGTTGGGCTTGGCAGTGGTCGCGTTGGGCTTGACAATGGTCGTGTTGGGCTTGGCAGTGGTCACGTTCACCTTGACCGTGGTGGTGGGGGCAGCGGTGACGGCCTTCACGACGGGCTTGGTCGTGGTAGGGGCGGTGGTGGTCGCCTTGGTCGTGGTAGGGGCAGCGGTGGTCGCCTTGGTCGTGTTAGGCTTGGGGGCAACAGTGGTAGCCTTGGTCGTGGTGGGGACCACCGACGTAGGCTTCCACGTGGTGCCGGTGGGCACAGTCACGTTCCACACACAGCCCCAAGCCCCCGACGGGATCTTGCGGCATACCGAGTTGATACCAGCGGTGCACGTGCGGTTCGAGTACGTCTTTAAGTGGGGGAAGCAGCTCGCCACCGCCTTGTCGCCCTTGACGGGGCAGTTGGTGCCCGCAGGCACGAGGCCGCTGCCGCTGCAGATGGGGCCAGCAATGTTGTACGTGGCGTCGCCCACCACAGACACGTTGAAGCGACGGGCGGTGGTGGTAGGCTTTGCGGCGGTGGTGGTCACAGGCTTGGCAGTGGTGGTGGTGTTGACGGGCTTGACGGTGGTGGTGACGTTGGGCTTGGGCGTGGTGGTCGCCAGAACGGTGGTGACGGGCTTGGTGGTTTGGGCCGCGACGGCAGCGATCAAAGCCGCAAAGAAGATGGTCGTGCGCATGTTGGAGTTGTGTGATTGGTTGGCAAACAATTGCAAAGTGACTTGTAAACGGGTCCGAGTCGTGGCACGTGTGCGTGGGCCGCCGCATCCTTTTGGGACAGACGCCAAGTTCAACAAGTCAAAAATACCCACGTGGTCTGATCACTAGTACCGAGTTGGTACAGTAGTGCTTCGACAATGCCCTCGAAGTTTGGCGAGGCCAACATCAAATGCCGCTAACATGAACCATACGTACACATACGTCGCTGCCACCACTCCGTTCCCAGCAAGGGGGATGCAATGATTCGTCGGGCTATTGTGACCACCGTGGACAGCCACACAATCGTACGAAAGTGCTAAGTGACGAGACAGACGACGGGAACAATTTGTGGGTTCCTTCACGAAGCACCCAGGTCAGTTTTGGATTCACTCGAAGCTGGTTCAAGTTTCCAGGACGTGACGTCGGCGGCTGCGGGTACTATCAGACACTTGGCCCTGCAGGTCGTGACACTTGAAGCAACTGGTGACCGGGCTACACCAATAATTCACTTCCGCCGGCGTGTACATCGCTATAGCGGCAACACATGGATAGGATTATGATATTTTTACAATCTCATTGTGGTGGTTCGGATTGTTTATAATGTTGCATAAGTACATGCTAAGTTGAAGATGTATTTAAAACGCAGGAAAAAACGCCGTTGCCGTGACAAGCCACAACCGGCCCATGGCAAAGTGACCAGACCAGCTATAGACGACCTTGACATCAAGTTCCGTGGTACTTCTCATGCATCCGAACTTCGACCATGCTTCGATCGTTGGGAGAGCGCTGCGAGTGTACGTAGAATAGATCGATTTGTTGCAGGAGGGTCCAGGTCAAATCCTAAGTGTTGGCGCCGTGGACGACAACCACCATGCCAGCAACCGCCGCTGGCTGTAGAGTCAGATGCCGATTCTTTACTACAACGTCAGAGGCTCAAGTCATTGCAGGACACGTCCATGCTTGATGGTCCACAGCGTCCCTTATACCGGGGGATGTCCTGAGCTGTTTTATGGTCAGGGCTAGAAGCAACCACCACCATACGATACACCGAGATGACATCATGTGAATGTTTGAACTCGATGGGTTACAACCCTTGAAGAAGACCTATCGGCATTGTATATACACTGCTAGGTGGAGTGACTGCAAGATTACACAACGTTAACGATGTAAGCGGACCAAGTGTATCGACAGATCAAAGTACTACTCAACTTATCCACTGTGTCATCCTAAACTTGGTTGAGCTGTTGAGCCAATGCCACCAAGTACGCCTACTCGACGCAATGCCCACATGAGCACAGTACTGTAGTTATCAAGCTACACAACTACCTTTGGCACGATCGAGTCGGGAGGGCGATGCATGATGTCGTCCAACACTGTCGTCGCTGTCTTCATGGACTTCTAATAAGAGCATCATACGTCAAGGTCAGTCACACTACAGCAGGATCCGCACAAAACACAATAGTTATTCCAGTAAGCTTACCGAGGATGAGTGGGGTATCCCCGCCGCCGCAGCCAGCGAACGCTTCAACGACTGCACAACATACTTGTGAATATCAATCAACCAACGACAGATTGCCACGTACATGAGGTGTGGTGTCGGCCGAGTCATTGACCGACGTGGCGGACGCCGACGACAGACTGGCGCTGTGGATGTAGCCATGACCCCAGGGAAACACGACAATGTAATAGTCGTCCTGGGCACGGTAAGCGCGCACGCGTCCGTTCCCCACGGGCGTCTGGACGACGTCGTCTGCATGATAGTCGTGATGGATGTGGGTTTTGGAAAAGACGTAGCCGTGGATTGGATCTGCCATGTACGCCCTGATGAAGCGGTTTACCTTATCCTTGAGCACGAGGCCTTCGCGCGGCGTCATCTTGCTCTTCACGTACAACTCGTGGCGAAAGTCGCTCTGGAATCGATTGCGGAACTCCCCCATCGGCATGATGCGGTACACTTCGCCGATGATCTCGACCATCCCTTGCGGCTTCCCCGACGGCAGCAGTGCGATGGCTTCCAGCAGCTTGAGCCATGTGACGTCCGGTGGCTCGTACGCAGGAGATGATGGGTTGAGAAGGGAATACAGCACCCCAGCACCAGATTTGACGTGAAACAGCACAGCGTTCGACGATGCGTGCTTGGTGCCCCGGACCTCCCGCTCTAAACTCAATGGCGCGAGGACATCTCGCTTGGGAAGCGGGAGCACCAGCGGTTTCGGTGCTACATGGACTGGAGGATGGGAAAATGAAGCATGCATGGACATGGGGTTTGTGCCATCAGACGCATACGGCACCTGCGGGGCAAGGAGTGGCGGCGCCACTGGCAAACCTGGTGCTTTGCTCATGAGATGTTTTAAAAAAACAGTGGTCTGAAAATGATTTGGATTCACTATGTCATAGAAGAGATATGTTTGCTGCGGATGACATATAATGTACGGATGCGACACAAATCAGTGCCTAGGCTCCCACATCGTTTTTCCAGTGACCCAAAATAGAATGTAGGTCTGTTACTTTTTCTTATCCTTACGTCGAAATTGGTAAGGCAGTTTGCAGTTTGAACCGGATAATTCGCCAAATTAGGGTCACGCGACGCTAAATTTCGAGCACATCCAAGGATATCCTTTGTATTAGAGCCCACTTGTGGGTTGTGATCATTTGGAAGATCATTATTGTCGTGGCAACACAAACAGCCCCCATTTTGCAATGTTCCGCTCAGTAGCCAGCCACTCTCTTCTCCGCCGCAAGACCACCCCCGTATCATCGATGTTGCTTCGCTTGTCGCACACGGCCACAGCCGTCGAAGCGTCGGATCGATTCCGCGTTGTGATTGTTGGCACGGGGTGGGCCGGGTACAAGCTGCTCATCAACGGCAAGGAGCGTCGCGACGACATTGAGCGTGCCCTCGGGAAGCCAGTGGACTTTGTCGTCATCTCGGAGCGCAATGTACGCTGCGTATCCACCACTATACCACCTTATCATGTTTACGTATGTAGCACTTTTTGTACACGCCGCTCTTGGCTAGCACAACCGTCGGGTACGTACCTACGTCCTCCAAGTGCCCACGTCCCACATGTATGCATGCATAGCACACTCGAGTTCCGATCGATCACTGAACCCGTGCGCGAGAGTTCCTTTCGCCACGAACAGGACTTTGTCCTCGCTAGCGTGCAATCCATTGACACCGAGTCCAAGCAAGTACAATGCCAGAGCACGTTATCCACGGATCTCAACTACAACATCGACTACGACATGTTAGTCGTGGCTTGTGGCTCTGTTCCATCCACGTTTGGGCTCCCAGGGGTCACCGAGCACGCGTTTTTCCTCAAGGAAGTGTACCACGCCCGTATGTGCTTTGTCGTTTCGGACTGGTTAATCGTAGTTCATATGGAACATACTCCAAATATGTAGGCGAAATCCGCCGCCGAATCCTTGAAAACTTTGAGCTCGCCACGCAGCCAGGCGTGTCGGAGGCGACCCAGCGCCAGCTTTTGCACTTTATCGTCGTGGGAGGTGGGCCCACAGGCATTGAGTTTTGTGCCGAGCTGTACGATTTTGTCAACGAAGACCTCACTCGCCTGTATCCTCAAGTAGGTCAAATAAATATACATACCTGTATATATATATATCGTTCCAGACACTGTGTTTCCATCGTCCGTTTCTTTCTTATCGTATATATATAATAGGTGTCGAATTATCTGCAAGTGTCGCTGATTGACGCTGGGGAAATCCTGTCCATGTTTAACGCGTCGTTGCGCGAACGTGCGATGCGCAAGATTGAGAACCGCCAAAGCATGCGCATTATCAAGCACAACTGCACAGAGGTATGTACATGTATATATGTCCATGGTCTCATCTGTAGTCGCTGACGATTTGTATGTCGGATAGGTGAAATCGAATGCGGTGATTTTGGACACGGGCGAAGAGATCCCGTGTGGCCTCGTGGTGTGGACCGCCGGTGTTGGTCCCAACACTCTGACTAAAACGTTGCCGTGGGCGAAATCCAAGCGCGGCAACATCCTCACCAACCAATTCTGTCAGGTTGGGCTCCATCTCTCTGCCTTTATTCTGCTTTCGAGTGAAATTTTGTGTTGTGGCGTGGCTTCTCGTTGGAATTTAAATCGATTTGATTGGCTACTTCAGAAGAGCTCAAAATTATTAGCCAATCAAAACCTTCTCAATGAAATTCAACCAATCAAATCAGTTGTGGATCGGTTTGGTCCGCGCGATTCGATTGCACCTCCTCCCCAAATTTGTATCAAATCGACAATACTAGCTACTGTAGTACCCTGCAATACCTTTGTTTCGTTTCCATGCGACAACGTTGATGATGGGATACAGTATTGTGCCTTCAACCAAAATTTCGATATTTACCAAACCCACTGGTCGATTTGTTGTATTGGACTTTGTATGTAATTGATTGTCGCTGGCGTTTGATTGGCCACTTGAAGAATCTTCTGGCTTTTAATTGGTCGGTTGATTGTCTGTCGATTGGATTATTCCTTTCAGTTATGCTCATTCGATTGAGAGCACTCGAACATTCGACTTGACAATCAACTACTGTACTACAACGGCGGCTACTACTAGGTCCTCGGTGCCCAGCCATCTCCACATGACGCGGCCGTGTCGGCGCAGTTGAAACTCCAGCTTCCGTCGGCAGTGTTTGCCATTGGCGACTGTGCCGACATTGAAAACTATCCGCTACCAGCCACAGCCCAAAAAGCCCAAGGCCAGGCACTGTACCTGCTGGAGCTGCTGCAAAGGACCAAGCCTAGCGTCGAACCGTACCGTTTTGAGAGCATGGGCATGATGGCGTACCTGGGGTCGTACGAAGGGCTGTTCCAAGCCAAAGAAGTGACAATCAACAAGCAGCACCAGCCGCTCGCGACGTTTGACGGATGGAAGGCGTGGCTGGTGTGGCGAAGTGCGTACCTGACGAAACTTGGCAGCTGGCGGCTGCGCCTGCAAGTGCCCCTCGACTGGTTCAAGGCCATGGTGGTCGGCCGGGATGTGTCTCGCTTTTAAGCTCGGGACCATCGCAAGCAGTTGGAGTACACTGTAATGATTGTACGGTTACCTCGGTTCTGAAAGAAAAGGTTTGATTTCTTTCAATCGTCACAAGTACAAGCAATATACTATCAAGGACGACACTGTCGAACTGTACCTACCTGGGAGCTGGCTAGCATACAGTAGAGATGGTAGCGCTGCAGCAGTGGCTACTGCAATTCAACAGCACTAATCTTAGAGGCATTTAGCTATTGTATGTAGCCCATCGAGAGACGACCACTTGGAATGCCAACGCCTTTCATAGCGAAACACCAGTGCGAACGAAAGACTGGGCTACATGATAGGGCTACGTGCGCTTATTCGGTTTCAAAGGAATCCTAGCACTTAAGTCAGTTTATATGCCAAAAGTTACAGCCCAAAACGAATCAAGTTGCCAAAGGCTCCCCATGCGGTGATGCTGGCAGAGTCAAGGGGTTTGCAATCCACATTGCCTTTTATTCACGTTCCAGCGACTACGACCACACTGGCTACAATGATCATAGGGGACGACTTCGGGGGCGAGTCTTGTAGTACACGTGTAGGGGTATAAGCTTGTCAGACACTAGACACCGTCACAGCATACCACACCAATTTGTCAAACAAGGTAGTTCTGCCACGCGGTTACACTACACACCTTTTTGTCGACCGTTTCAACTTGGCATATAAACTCATCCCCTGACGCAATATGTTTAAAGCCGTGCAAGGGGGACATGTCGATGCAGTCCAGGGGTTGCTACGGTCGAGTGACCTCAAGGACATGCAACAGATGGATGTTGTGGTTCGTCTAGATTGGCTACTAGTAACTACCTACCTTGGACATTGTACACACCCCCTCCCTTGTAGGTCGGGGGCAAGCCCGTCGTGGAAGAGTGCACCCCGCTGATGCTGGCGAGTTGGTTGGGCCACGACGGCATTGTGGACTTGCTGGTGGCGTACGACTCTTCCCTAGTAAACCTTGCGAACCACGTACGTACATACATATGCACCTCGTATCGCAGGCATGCAGATCGCATGTGACCAAACACATGTTTAGAACAAAACCAACGCACTGATGCTAGCGTGCATGAACAACCATTGGAGCGCAGTTCAGACGCTCCTTTCTGTGGCCAGCCTGGACGTGAACGCAATCAACATGGTGTGGATTCGACGCGGTGGAGCACTTCTAACTTGCTCTTTCCACCTGTCAGGACTCCCACTCGGCGCTGCTTATTGCAGTCAACAACAAGAATGCCGAGCTGGTGCATTTGCTCTTGACCCGTGCCGACCTCCAAGTCAACCTCCATGGCTACGTACATATGTGCTTATCTACATTCATCACATCTCTTGACGCTGCTGTTTCGATGTGGTGGCAACGTAGAGAGGCAATACAGCCCTCATCCTAGCTTGCGCGTCGAGTTCCAAGAACGTGGTCGACGCGCTGCTGTCTCATCACGACATTGACGTCAACATGGTCGACAATGTAAGCCTCTTCCACTCTTTCTATGACTACATCTTCGTACATTTATACGTGTACTTAGAGTGGCCAAACGGCGCTACACCGCGCGGCGGCCGCGCCAGGTGGGTCGTTGATCGTACAACATCTGCTACAACACCCAAACCTGCTAGTGAACAAACCCAGCAAAGTAACCCGCCGATAGTTATCAATAACGTTGTCTTCGTTTGTTTCATGGATTTGATTTGTAGACCGAAGAAACAGCGCTGCACGTGGCAGCCGATGTTGGCGAGGGCGAGTCCGTCATAGCTCTTCTGAACCACTCTGCTGTCGATGCAACATGCAAAGACGTGGTAATATAATGTATCGTAAGTCCGAAAATGACTGACCTCTGGATCTAGCAAGGAAGGTCCCCCCTCATGCGTGCACTGAAACAGGGGCATGCGGACATTGCCCTTGCACTGCTGGCCACACAATCCGTGACCAAGGAAGTCAACTACCAGGATAAAGTAAGTCAATAGATGGTGTGACCCTTGGTGATGGTCGCTGCTAGACTGGCATCACGGCGCTCATGGTGGCGTGTCAAGCTGGTCTTCTGCCTGTCGTTGATGTCATGCTGCACATTCCTTGCGTGGATATTACCATTCTCACCAAAGTAAGTACTAGTATGCTGCATGGACATTTCGCTTCAAGAATATGCTGTGAAAGTGCAAATGTCACATCATTCACGTGCCCAAAATGACACTCATAATGGCGGGACTAGTCGGGGTGTACGGCGCTGAGCTATGCGGCAACCAAGGGGGACGCTCGGGTCGTGCAGGCGCTGCTGGGGCATCCAAATGGGTCGGATATTGTCAACAAGGTGTTCAAAGTCCTAACCCCCTCCGACGAGAAATGATATGATGATGACGTAGGCATATCCGAGTGCACTGTTCCGGGCGTGCCGGCTAGGGTTTGAGGACATTGTCCAGCTGTTGCTGAGTCGGGACGACTTGGATGTGCACGCCGATATCAACACGGTACGACAAAAAACTTCAACTAATAAAATACTTACAGTTGATGGATACCAAGATGATCGACACACCGCTGACGATTGCGGCTGAGGAAGGGCATGCAAATGTCGTGGCTATCCTCGTTCAACGACCCAACTTGTTTCCAGTCAACCAACCCGCTCGAGTATGCATATATATATTTATATCTCTTGCTACCTTCATTCAAATTAGCAATACCCATCTACAATTGGTACGATAGAAATTAAAAAAAACACCTCTGCATTGTGCGGCGACACACGGACGTGTGGAAGTAGTGCAAGTGTTGCTGCGTCAAGGCGATGTTGACGTCAACGCTGTCGACGATGTACATATCCACAACAATACCAACTTCCGAAGACATCAATATATATATATATATGCGACGATGTGTCGTAGAAAGGGAGCACGGCATTTCTGTACGCTGCCTCAAGGGGGAGTTTGCCCATCTTGCAGCTACTGTGGCAGTGTCCCACGCTGCACTCAATCAACTTCCAAGACAAGGTACCTTCAAACATATATCATAGCCCAACCCAAGTTGTTGACATGGGGTTTGGATGATAGGGGCAATGCACTGCCTTGGCTTGGGCGTGTGAATACCATGACGCCGACGTTGTGCAGTTCCTCCTGAGCCTACCAGACATTGACGTGAATTTGCCCGACGAGGTTGGTTTACAGATACCAGAAACATTGACTTTCGAGGTATTTGCTCGACAGTAGAATGGCCATTCGCCGCTTCTCAAGGCCACCGTGAATGGCAGTGCGGGCGTGGTGGCTGTGCTACTTCAACACCCACAGATTCAAGTGAACCGGCCATCGCATGTACGGAGTATGTGTGCTTAGTGTTTCACGACGAACGCATCATAGAACATGAACACACCGCTACATGCGGCCGCCAACCTACGTGGACCTGCCATTGCCGAGCTGTTGCTTGCCCACCCATCGATTGACAAGTCTGTTGTCAACAGAGTAAGGCGTACTACTACTCGTGTGTGAACAGCTAGTTTTTGACCAACTAAACTCGAAACCGCGTAGGAAAACTGTGGGCCGGTGCAAGTGGCGGCCAAAGGCGGGAATTACGTAACCATGGGGGTCTTACTAGCGAATGGCTTGCCGTTCGAGTCAGTGTACAAGGTAGTAATCGCTATAGTATATATTAATACTATTTCAACTGGTACTTGTAGGGCACATTGCTCGTTGTAGCTATGGCTCCATGTATGACCCCCGCCGCAGGAGTCGCCCTTCTCCTCCGTGACCTCCCCGTCATCGTCAGCGCGACCACTCCTACCCCCACCATAGTTGCCACTGACAAGCACCACTACTCGTGGACTACATTTCTGGATTCGTCGACCCCCATCAAGCCCGAGATTCGCCTCGAAACGGTACAATTAGTGCTGGACCACCCCCAATTCAAGGCCCTGGACCGCCACAGTGTCGTCAAGGAGCTCGCGTTTGCCGCCGACATCAACGGCCGCACGGCGCTGCAGATCACAGACGCCGCCACGCGAACGTTTCTGAACGAGCAGCTGTTTTTCTGCGGCCGGTACGAACTCTTTGACGGACCGCCGATCCACATCAGCTCCACGGCGGTGGTTGTCAATGCGTTCGACTATGGCATGTTCAAGCAAGTGTTTGATATGCACGCGGCGGCATTGGATCATCACTTGGACAGAGATGGCTTTGCAAAGTGTAGCCACGCGTTGGGCCAACCTTCGTCGCAGACAACCAAGGTACTGCTGCGGCGCGTGCTGTGATTGCAATCACTCTCGATGTGTGTGATTGCAATGATGTATATATTCACTATACTCGAACAAAACGTATATACTTGGGTTGCAATGATTATTTGTGCGCGAATCTTACGCTAGCGGTTTTGCTCTGGGTTTGGTAGGGTACGTTAGGGCAAAGTGACTTTGACGTGTGGGACAAGAATCACAACGGCACGTTGTCCGAAGTCGAGTTTATGCGATACTGTGACCAAGCGTATGGGGGCAAATTGAAAGTCGCGATGAAGTTCATGCGGAATGCGGATGAACATGCACGCGAGATTCACATGCGACGTGGTTTGACCAAAGATGATGAGGAAAATGCTGGGTCTCCATGTGTGCTTCGTCTGTTGCCCATGGCGAGTCAAGAAGCGTTTGAGTGTCATGTGACACAGTTGACACTGCACCACGACCTCCACATGGCGGCGTACCCCAACGTGCTCGTGATGCCCGCCGCCGATCGCAGCCTCGAGGACATTTACTTGAAAGAACGTCCAAACGACAATCAAATCCGAAGCATGCTGCAGGAAGTGGCAACGATGCTGGGGCAGTTGCACTCTCATGATGTTGTGCACGGGGATGTGAAGAAGCTCAACGTGCTGCGTGTGGACCACTGCATGCGGCTCATCGATATGGACGCCGCCACACCTGTGAATCACCCCATCGGCGCCAAGTTTAGCTCGGGCAGTTTGCCTCCAGGTACCTACTCGTCTTGTTCTACTATCATGTTGGTATATCGAAACGGAAATCTGGGCATTGGTCGTTCATACAGTGGGGGTGGCGACTTGTGTAGAAATGTTTTACAAGTTGAAAAGTGAAGACGAAGTCGCGCAATATAGTTCGTATTGGCAGCAGCGAAACCACCCGGAGAAGACAAAGAACGAGGCGGACGACGACGACGAGCGTCGTCGGCATGATCCTGATTGGTGGGCCAAGGTGCAGCCACGTCATCACTGGGTTGTCAAGACCTTTCACGACAAAGACCACCATCTGCTGCCGTACACTCTAGTAAAAGCCACGCCCGCCGTGGACATGTGGGCGTTTGGAGTGCTCATGTATCAAATGTACAGCGGGGTCGAGTTGGTTCCCACGGACAGAAACCAGGACGTGGACGACAGCAGCATCGAGCGCGCGGCGACATGGACACCTGCCGACTTGGCCACTCGCCTGCAAAACAAAGTGGCGAATCCGGTGGCGCGCGATCTCCTTTTGAAGCTCTTGGCGGTGGACCCGAATGATCGCATCAGCGTTCACGCGATGCTAAGCCACGCGTACTTTGAGATCAAACAAGTGGACAGCACCACCAAGCAAGTATTGAGTGCTATTGAAGCCAAATTGGACACCTTGAACGACCACGTGGTCAGTGGGTTTCAGAGCATGAACGACCGATTGGACTTAGTCGTCGAGTTGACCCAAGACACGCTAAAGCAGCTGGGCCAGGCCAAGGAAGATCTCATGCGAGGCATCTTTCAAGCCACCGAAGTGCGCGTCCCCACGTCCTTTGTGTTGCTTCCGTTTAACATTCTGGAGAAACTTGCTGACGACGACGACGACAATGATGTTGAAGGGGCACTAGACGAAGCGGCCAGCTTTATCCAAAAAGGCTTGGACATGGGGGCCAAGTTTGTGAAAGCGGTCAAGACCAACAAAGCCATCAACGTTGTCGTCAAACTAGTAACCCCGGGGGCCCCTCTGTATCTGTACCTGATCGACGAAGTACAAGGTGCCCCGGTCGTACCCCCGCTAGACAAGGCAAGCCCCCCAGTGTACCCAATCAAGATCGAAACCAAGTCGGACGAGTACGTAGCGTTCATGGTCACCGCCATGCCGTACATTCAAACTGGCTTCAAGCTGCTCAAGGGCGTCAACACGGTGGCTTGTATGGCCAAGGCGCTGGGCGTTCCGTCGTTGGACGCGGACGTGCTCCAGGGCGTTCAAGACAAGATCGAATGCGCCAAGAAGACGTCGAGTGTCTTTGACTTTGGGGTGCTGCAAACTGCCGTGGAAGCGAATGACCCTGGGGCCCCCGTGCATCGCATCCGAGGGGCGGCGCTGCGACAGCTCGAGCGGTTCTTCGAACTCCACGACCCCGAAAAGGACTTTGCAGGGCTTGGCCGAACGTACGCCGCATCGGGCCAAGTGTTATGGACCGCCAAGAGCACCATTGAAGCGTTTGAAAGATCAAAAGCACAGCCAAAGTCTGCCAACATCTCGTTTGCAGGCGATATACCCATGCTGCTAGAAAGTGGTAACAAGAAAACGTTAACTGCCCAAGACGTGTATGCGAAGTTGTTACGCCAGCAACCACCCGAGACGACACGCAAGGTACGAAACCTTCCCTTGAACACGTCGAGTAATGTGGAATAGCAAGAGCTATATAACGTTATACTAGTAACGTCATGGGATTGTAGTCACTTCGGACACCAGGAGCGGTGGCTGTGACGAGGAAGTGTGCTACCGGTAGTGAGGAGGCATGAGCACTGTACGTACTGTAGTCACTGATGTGTCAAACAATATTGCAACATTGATATGTATTGTGCTTTTCATGTAGTTTGCCCGTTGTTTAACTACGTTAAACAACCAGACGTTTAAAATAATATAAGCCCGATTGAAAATAAAACAACGCTAAACACAAGTTCTGCATTTCAGCAGAATAAAACAACCCTTACTTTATTTCAGCTGCTAACTAATCGAGTTGAAGCACCAGGCCAACTTACGCCGTACAACCACCAGTTCATCACGATGCATACCGTATTACAGTGCTGGCCATAAGTGAAAGGTACAAAAGCCTTTCGACTGTAGAATTCACAATTTTTATCCAATCAAAGCGCTCTTTCAGTCAGTTCACGCCAATTAAAATTGTGGTCTCGTTGATGCTTTTAAATACCTAAAACGATGTATACACATAGAAAAAAATCGAAAATATTTTTTTGAGCGGCAAAAAACCTGGCCATATGTGAAAGGTACAAAATTCAAAATCCACCGCAGAGTGCATTCCCGGCAATTTACGACCACCCCAAGACTGGTAGAACTACCTATATACACTACTACGACTCACACGCTTCTCTTAGATGCCAAAAGGATACGCACTCACGCTTGAGCAGCGTGGATCTATCGTGGCTTTTCGCAAGGCCAAACTCAGCATTCGCCGGATTGCCGACGAGCTTGGTGTGTCCAAAGGAGCTGTTTGCAGCTACCTAAGGTCGCCTGAGACTTATGGGACTCCCATTCGTGCTGGACGACCTGCCAAATACGATGCCAGGGACAAAAGACGCGTCCTTCGTCTTGCATCTGAAGGACGATCCAGCTCAAGTAGGATTAAACATGACCTAAATCTTACTTTTTCGACTCGTACGGTCCGTCGAATCTTGTCCAATGCACCGCACCTCAAGTACAAGAAGCGCAAAGCAACCCCTCGACTCACGTCAGCGCACAAGAAGGCTCGTGTGGAGTGGGCAAAGTCTCACGTTGACCTTGGTCTCGGCTGGAACCAAGTTGTCTTTTCCGATGAAAAGAAGTTCAATCTGGATGGCCCTGATGGCCTCCAGTACTACTGGCATGATCTCCGTAAGGACGAGCAGACGTTTTTGAGCCGTCAAAATGGTGGGGGCGGCGTCATGATTTGGGCCGGATTTTCAAGTCAAGGTCGGACGGAAGTTGCGGTCCTCCAAGGCCGCCAAGACTCCTATGCCTACTGCGACACGGTGGCAAATTATCTGCTGCCCTTCGTCCATGCCCATCACCCTGATGGGTTTGTATTTCAACAAGATAATGCGAGCATTCACGCCAGTCAAGAAACCACGGCGTTTTTGGCGGAACAAAATATTCCTCTTTTGAGCTGGCCTGCGCTTTCGCCTGACCTAAACCCCATCGAAAATGTTTGGGGATGCCTGGCCCGCAAAGTTTATGCCAATGGAAGGCAGTTTGGCTCCGTTCAAGAGCTCCAGTCTGAGATTTTACGTCAGTGGGATGCCATTGACGAAGAGCTCTTCCACAAGCTTATTGCATCCATGAAATCGCGCTGTATCGATGTTCTGCAAGGCAAGGGGT